GGTAATTTACCCGCAACTACTCTGTTACATGCCTTTATGTTATATTAGTATTGTGTTATTTCAGCTTTTTTACTGTTAATATTAATGAAATTATTGTGAGTTGAATCGATTTGTCACTGTAATAAGTAGCGCCATCATAAGTTATAATCTATATAAAATGATTACTGTAGGGCGTGTAAAAGACTTAGTGGTATTTCGTGATACATACGTGTAGAGGAATAGTAAAGCATGTTTTATAGCAAAATACAAGTGTTTTGTTTTCGTATTCTTTGTTTAGTTTGTTGTCTCATAATATCCCATCTGTTTGGAATATACGGCATTTTTAGCGGACGGGATTTATGCCCAAAGCATACAAAATGCGCAGATTGAATTCAGTGCACTAAATGCAATAAATACATTACATGAAATATGTACCTCACATGTCATAATTATTATTTATTACTTCATATACATATTTATCATTCTTATTCCTTAATAAAACTTTATAAATACATTTTATAAGTTATTGTATCATTTTATGTCTTATTTATAAGCATTATTTGTAAATTTTTCATGAGCCGTACATACCCCCTCTCCCCCTATAAGTAGTCATATATCCCACCCCTATGGGATATACGGCAAAAATGCAAGGGTTTCAAAAAGATCATTTCTTAATACGAAAAATAAATATATATATTTCGGATTTCTAATATTTTTTTCATAGTAGTAAACAGTACAAAGTTTTTATTGATATAGTTCATTTACTTTAAACATAGTAAATAATACTTATAATAGATTAAGTTTTTGATAGATGTGGCGTATATAACTGGAGTTATCCTATAGGAAGGTTTCAATAGGTCTCCGAAATTCGATTCCTACAGCAACGCGTGTGATTTCCTGTCGACGTTCCAGCGACTTAATGGAGCCGTAAGCAAGAGTAGTGATAAAAACGTTTCAGAAATTTGATCAGTTCCGAAAGTGGGGAAATCTCGCTTATCATGGGTTCAGCTCGACGGTGTGCAAGTCACGAACGAAGCAACTTTATCGTACGAAATGTACGGTTTGACTTATCGATGCATGAACCTTTACGGGAAGGAAAAAAGCTGACTAAAAAGGAAAAGATCGTTTTAGATGTTTCGAATTCACAACATCCGCTTTATGTAGATTGAACCAAAGAAGAATCATCATTTCTGAAATGCATGTAGACCAAGAGAGAGAAAGAGAAAGATAAAGAAAATTTTTTTATACAAAATGCTTCTAAATTATCGTACAACTATAAACACTTATGTACAGTTTTTGTATTTTTTCTGAGAGAATGCATAATTACATTCTTTTCATGAATTTATCAAAAGAATTAATTATTTTCGAGTTTAATAATAAATCGGTGCATATTAAATGTATTTTTTAGTACAATCTCAATCGTACAAATAAATGAATAATTATTTTTTAATCTCGCTTAATCACGAACGCAACAAATTGGTCAACAAATTAGGCCTGTGCAAATAATTACTTTGTAAATGAAATACTCGTGACGATTTTAATTGAAAGCAGGTGCAACTACCAACAATCGGTTTTTGTCAACAAAACGATTACTATAGACAGGTCTTAATTAGAACCGTCCGACTATGCCAGAATCTCCAGCTTTACATTTTGGCGACTGTCAATATTTAATTTATCCTATCGGTCGCTGACAAGCGGGAAACAGAATGCGACCGCTTGCAGCAAAAAGAGAAATTTTTGAAGTATTCGATATTGACGTCAAACCCGCATTTTATTACATTTCTGTGGTACAGTTGCGCGATCGTAATAAGTGATATCAAATTGAGTGTTATAATCAATTGGAACGTTTCTCTTTTTACTTCGAAAATTATAAGTGAGAAATAGTTTTAAATTGAATAATTATATAATATAATTCTGGATTATTCACAATTATGTCAAATGTTTGAAATTTTATATTTATAAAGAACTCTCTCTCTCTCTTTCCTGAGAGATAGAATGAATTGTAATCGTTCAATAAAAGAAGAATATTCATAAAAAAAAATTGAGACCCAGAGAAAGGTTTCTTCAATTCAAAGAAATGTTTTTTTGCTATAAAGAAAAAGGTTAAAGAAAAAGGTTAAAGAAAAAATTTCTTTCATTTGAACGTCATTTCTTTGATTTAAACATAATTTCTTTAAATTAAATAAATTTTTTTATTTGATTTAAAAAAATAATGTTTAAATCCAAGAAATTACGTTCAAATAAAAGAAATTTTTTATGCGTTGTGTGCGACGAAACGCGTCACCTGTAAATCATAACGTGAGCGAAAAACCTCGCACGCGTGTCGTGAATTTCCGCCGACCGGAATTTCGTTTGACGAACATTAATTAGGAATGACGCGTTGCGTCCGTAAGAAAGAAAGGTGTTACGGGTATCGCCGGCTTTTGACGGAGCGTTTAATTGTGCCGGCTTGACAAATGAGATTCTATCGTGTTCCCTTTCCCTTCTTTCTTCTTTCTCTGTCGTTCTCTCTCTCTCTCTCTCTCTCTCTCTCTCTCTCTCTCTCTCTCTCTCTCTCTCTCTCTCTCTCTTCTGAGGGGATCTATCCCAGAGATACATAAATAAATGCCAAATAAATATATATATATGAATGTGTGTGTGTGTTTATTATGTACGTACTTATGTATGTATTGTACGTATGTATTAGTAATATGTATATAGTATATGTACACCCACGGTTCACGGATGCAGCGGGAAGCTCAGTTGCAAAAGGGATAGGTTACGGTCTCGCGGCTTTAACAGATGAGGTACTAATTAGTTTGGAATACAATTGTAAAGCAGAATATATCAATGGTAGCCTGTTAGCGCGAGTTTCGGTTTGTTCCACATTTCTGGACAAAAGTAACGATGTGGACTCTCCTAATTCCAATTATTTGAAGATTAAACGAAATATAATTCAAAAATAAAACTTGTTTTCAACTGCGCATACCGAGAGAATGTTGAAAACTTTATTTAAAAATACTTACGTACTTCTCTGTTTTCTTCTTATAATCCAATTTTTCCAAATTTGAAGATTATATTAACTTCCTAAGTTTTTGTGTACCGATAAACTTACAAAAAAGACAAATATCTCGGAAAAATTTGAACATATATTTTTAAGAAACTTGCATAATTTGGGGGCCGACAAAGAAATGGTTAAACAGCAATATCATCTTAAAAGAAGAATCTATCTCTTACACATAGAATTTGCAAAAGTCGTGTTTGACTATTTTGTCAAAAATGTAATACTCATCAGTTTATTTTTATTATTTTATTGAAATATATATAGAACCACGGATATAGCTTCTTTATATGACTGCAAATTACGCATTAAGTTCATGTTCTTTTAATAACTCAGGCGTTGCTTCGCTCGTTTTCTATTTCTCTTCTCTCAAGCATTAGGATGCTATAGAATCAACTGCATTAATAGAGATAGCGCGGTCGTGTCACATTTTAGTAGATACCTACAAAGCAAAGCTTTGTTCCTTGTTAAAGAGACTTTTATGCTCCATACATGCACATTAAAAGTTTTCTAGCTCTACTTATATATTTTAATGAATTATTGAAGTAATATCATCGTTGTTTTGTAAGTTTTGTTGTGGTCGCAGATATTTTATAACACGTAATAAAGAGGATTAATCCGAACGTAATAGCGGATTAAAGAACATAATGTGTTTTTTATGCTCTGCACATACTAATAAAAATTATATTGACTTCCTTATTACGCTATTACACATAAGAATCATTGAACATTTTTTTTAATTACTAGCTCGCACGATTAATTATTCATAAAAGAATCGAGATGACAATCATTTATCACAGAACAGATATTTCGTACGGTTCAATTTGGAATAAAAATGCGATGGAAACCAGAATTTATTACTATTTCGCGATAATTATGGACGACAATTATATTTGTTTAACGTAAAATTTTTCTCTCGCTTGAGAATAACTTTCGATTATACTTCAAATGGTATCACACGAGTCTTAAAAAAGCAACGTTAATAAATACTCTCATGCAGATAACGCAATTTATGTGATTCCTATTTTTACAATTAATATAAATTTTTCATTTTCGTGTATCTTTCGTGATATGATAAAAAATTGAGTGTAACTTTGAAACTATTTATCGGTAATAAAAGAAATATTTCTCTTTTTTATTAATCTCTCATTCCATTGACTCTAATCATATCTTACAGACATCGTAATAAGAGATTCAGCCCTTTTATCTGCTCTGAATTTATTTTGCAATTCGGTGGCGAATTGATATGTTTTTGATATTCATTTCTAAAAATTAACCGATAATTGCACAGTAGTATAGATAATAGCTGTATATTACATTTTTTCAGATGATATCTTCCCTCTCACGGGTACACCTCGATGTGGTGGGAGGGCTCAGTATCCAGAGGATATACGAAAAGAACGGTTTTTCTCAAGTATCTAAAAATTTTCGGATCTATCTGTCTGATATATCTAGATAAATTTTTAGATATTGAGTAAAATCGTTCTCTTCGAGTAAAAATCCAACGACGGAGAAGCTAACGTACCCTCGTCGCCGATTTAAATGAAAGTGAACGAACCGCAGCCGGTTCGTCGCGTCGCGCGTTTGCTTCGAGAGTACCGTTAAAGTGATCGGACTAATGGACTTTTAACAAAACCCATTCGATTAGATTCTAGTTCGACGGTGGAATCACATCTTCGATGTTTCGACAGGAAAGCGGAACTCTCTTTGAGACGTTGCTGCTTAATGCAGGTGACCGGTCACTGGTGCAATGCTCTCACGCCTCTCACGAAGTGAGGCCAACCGCGTAATGTCACGCAAGTGTTCGCGCGGTTTAGCAACTACCGTTGCTGTCGGCTAATTGAGGACACGCTCTGTCTGTCGGCAAACGGTTCGGCCCTTAGCGGTAAGAAGCGATCGATTGACTCGGATTCGTCTCTGCGTGTATTCTGTTACTCGTTATACAGTTGTTATGAGTTTATAACGATTGCACAACGAGTTACAGAATTTCGCTGGTGGTCGCTCAAAAAGGAGTTGTATAACTCTGGTCAGGGCGCTCATTTCTCTGGGTTTATCTACCTGCTGAATCATATTTAATCTGACTTGGTCAGAGCCTAGCTCTTAGTAGGATCTTTTTAAGACCTAGCTCGTGACGAGGGGTTGGATCCCATTTCCTGGATCGTCTAGATTGTTAGACTCGGCAATAGATACCAACTTTTCTCTTATTAGAGGCGCTTGTCACGTCTACCAGCCTTTTCGAATCGCTCGTGGTACAGCACCACTTGTGTCACACTAGAACTAGTGTTAGGGCGTATGCCTGAGCCAATTTTAAACGTGATTTCGCGTAAATCAGAGGTGATGAACTCGATACGATCGATTTCGTCTTCTTTCGTGTGGGGTTTAATTTTTGTTCGGTATTCATCGTGTGTTTCACGTGTACTCGTCGACATGTGGTGTTGATTCCACCGATCGAAATGGAAATCATGGATCATGGGTTTTGTAAACGTGAAATACCGCAGTGTCGCGCGAAAGACTTTCATAAATAATTAGTCCGCGCGCGATTATAGTATATTATTCGCGAGTGTTTTACGCGAGTGTCCTGTGCGAGAGGATGTCAACCCGATTCTGAGAGGAGGAGGAGTATCAACCTTGCGGTAAATATCATTTTTCGCTTATATAAAATCAGTATCTTTCTTCTGTTCACTCTTGAGTCGTTTTATTATACAATGATTTAAAAATGATAATTAGAAGAAAAGGATTATTTAAAATTATTTTGAAATTTGTGTGTGTGATAAATACGCATTTTTGAGATCTCTTTTTTTATAAAATGTATAATTATTTTTATGAATATCTAACTGAATAATGAATTAAAAAATTCGATGCTTATAAAAATTATATATTTTGAAAATTATATAATTATTTTCAAGAGAACTTTGCATTTAGTAAATATTTTTTAAAAATATTGATTGATTTTCTTTGCTCTGTTTTAATTTGGATTTTATATTCTTTTTGTTACAGAATCATCGTAGCGACGTTGCAGATGTAATTCCGCTGTTGCGCATCGGGTTGATGAATGATAAATTAATATTTTTATTAAAGTAACGGATGTGTGGTAATTTCATTAATGTACTATATATCTCTCTAGAGATGCATATATGCATCAATTAATAAAAATATATGGATAAATGTATGTATAGCATTCCATACATCCGTTGTCTTAAAATGGATAAATTATAACAGATTAGAAGATAAACTTAATCCTGGATGCCTCTTTATTATAAAATTTATTGTGCATGCAATGTTAAATGTATAGTATCACATTACACCCAGTTTTTAATTTTAATCGTTTTTATAAGTCGCCACTGCTCTTACTCAATATCTTGTTAGTTTAATTAAAACAATAGAGTAAAACTATTTAATTCAAGAATACACAGTAAAAAAGTTTGTATATTTGTGTTGAAAATGGTCCACTCACGTTTGTGTTAACAGTTTGTGTTGAATTTTTTAACATATTTGAGTGTTAATTTAATATAATGTGATTGTTATTTAAATAGTTTATTTATTGATATTCGGTATGTTTTAATGTCAAAATGATACAATTTATGAGTAAGTAAACAAGTAACATAAAAATAATGTGTTTTAAAACGTAAATTCTAAGACAAATGAATGAAATATCTGTTAATTTAACATACCATAAATGTTAGTTTTCTGAAAAAAATGCACCCAGAGAAAGGTTTCTTCAATTCAAAGAAATATTTTTCTGTTATACGGTTAAAGAAAAAATCAAATAAATTTTTTTATTTGAATTCAAAAAATAATGTTTAAATCAAAGAGAGAAATTACGTTTAAATCAAAGAAATTTTTTCTTTAACCGTATAGCAAAGAAACATTTCTTTGAATTGAAAAAACCTTTCTCTGGGTGTGTTCTCACGGTTTGTTTACAAACTGTGTCAATGTTATCTTTCTTTGTATTCATTCTCTTGCATAATATTTGTGTTACCTTCTAACATATTCATCTCTCTTGTGTAAAATTAATTCAAAAATTATTTCAAAAATATGATATATATTATATCTCAAAAAAATGTTTCTTTGCTATAAGGTTAAAGAAAAAATTTCTTTGATTTGAATATAATTTTGTAAAAATAAATACATTTTTTATTTGATTACAAAGACTAATGTTTAAATAAAAAAATGACATTCAAATCAAAGAAATTTTTTCTTTAACCGTATAGCAAAGAAACATTACTTTGAATCGAAGAAATCTTTCTCTGAGTGTGTTACATTATAATAAGTATTGTTTTATTACTTTTCTTATCTTTCCTATTCTCAAATATCCATTCAGGATTAAATTTTACATATAAGTCGGTGCACACAGAAAAGCAACGTACATAGGGTAAGTGGATCCAACAATGAAACATGTAAATTTCAGATGCTTATATCTCTTTCAATTATTGAGTTGAAGATCTGAGTTTTGGCATACAGTTTATGAATTTAGTTGGCTGCATACTGTAAATAATAACTCTTAAGTTATTTTTTAAGTTTAGCCACAATTTCGATTATTTCAAAAAATGGGAAGTGGTTCATTGTGTACAAGGGGTGTGTACACAATGAACTATGCTATTTTTATTAAGATTTTAGAGGAGTCGTATTCTAAATAATTACCACAACGAATTATTATTTTGAAGGTTATCGTAAAAAAGGTTATGTGCCATGGTTCATTGTTCACTACATCAAAATGATTCATTGTAGATCACTTGACCTTTTCCACGATAATCTCCAAAATAATGCGGTAAAATAATACAACAGAAAAAAGTTGCTTATAGAATAATAAAGCCAAATGTGCACACAAAACTATTGCACAATGAGAAAAATGATAGGTAAAAAAACATAAAAAATGCGTAAAACTTACGGAAAAAATTTACTTTGCAACCCAAAATTTTTAAAATGTGATATTACAAGGCCGTCCTTGGCACAATTTGCCAGCCGACTAGAGCCGAGGAGGGGTTCAAATGCAAGTCGCTGTGCATGATAAGCGCAATCTGGTAACGTCGCATTTACGAAATATCGCAATGGGGGGTTCATAGTATACTACTGATTCACTGTTGGACCACCTATCCTACACATATATGTATAATACATATTGTTTTCTAAGATATTCCTTCAATTGTTTCACACTTATTTGTATACATTACTAATAAAGTAACAAATATTTTGAAGTAACATATATGTCGTACAATTTTTTGACCTCGCTTTTTTGCAATAAAAGACACTTTACGATTATTAATTTTTGCTATTTATCTCAATGCATTGACTTTAGCCTAAACTTTTATAACTTATTCATGTGTAGTAACTGGATTTTACGCCAGTTGAAGTAGTAACATGATGTAAGATCCAATATACATTTTGTCAAAGAATAGAAGAATTTTATTTCGTAATTATTTTAAAATCGTGTTCAGAGTTTTGCATCACTTAAAATTCCTAATTTTGAAATAATAAATTATACAAAAAATAATTCTAATAGTTTACAAAATACAAAGAGATATGTTTATTGTGAGGGGAAAATTGTCCCTTTCGGATGTTACATCATTCATCTGAATTTCCCATCTCCGCATGCTTTGAGATGAGATTCAGCCACGAATCGTTCGAATCGTTAAGAATATGTATAGGGGCCTTGAATTTTATCAGTTCATTATTAATCAATTTAATAATTTTCAGTTTATTTTTAAATTAAAATTTTGTTATTTATATTGTAAAATTTATATTAAGAAATTTATCTTGTTTCATAATATTGGAGATTCTTGAAATCAAAACGTTAAAAATATCCCATATAAAAGTTTTTTTAATTTAAATTTATTTTTAGTCGAATTATTTATATTTTTAATTTCCATACAATAAACGCGAATAGAGAAAAAACGCGAAATTTATTCGTATATTAATGGAATAATAATAATAATTATTAGTGATAATTGTTCATATTAATATTGAGTCAATTTCATTAATATGATGGCCTCTTCGCGACGCGTTCGTGTTTCGCGCATATCATACAAAAGCTTAAAATCTTATACTTATAGTCAACGATCTAGTCAGTAAAAAAAAGGAGTATTTCTCCTTGTCGATTTCTGGCATGTGAAGCCAGAATATTGGCCAGCAACAAAAGGTGAGTTCAGTCTGGCCAGAAGAAAGAAGAGAATCTAAATGAAGTAGATTGGTGTTTAACACCAATATAAGTTTTTAAAAAGTATATGTAAAGATAAAACAAACTGAATATTTGGGAGGGTAATTTGCTCGCAAATTGCGACTTCTTATATTTTTTGAGAAATGTTTAAAATGTAAAAAAAAACTAACAAACAACAGGGCTAATGAGAGTCAGCGCGAATAATCAGACGCAAGTTTGATAGATTAAAAAAAATCTACAAAACTTGTGCTTTGATTACACAGGCTGATAAAATTTAGGGAGGGCCTTGTGCTTTGAATTTTAAAAGATGTTTCCGTAGGATTTTGATGCGCTAAAAAAGATTATGTCGTCCGTTTTTTTCCATCACCCTCCATTTTTTAAATAATCGCGAAAACAGTTTTTTCCGGAAGTAAATTTTTTATTAATTTTTTCCGGCTAAACAAAAAATGATATCGAGGTCTATTTTGTGGCACTTAACTCAGGAATATTCCAACAATACTAAAAATATTTTTTCGATGTTTATAAAAATGTTTTATGCAAACCGCAAACAAAAAACTTTGAAAAAAATCGTAAAAAAACCGGAAGAAATTGACAAATTTTGAAATATAAAACCAAATAATTCGAAAGAAAAAAATCGTAAAAAATATCTGACAATTTATATTTATAGCTATATGTTTCTAGTTTAAATCCTTTTTTGAAAAACTATTTTCCGACCATTTGTTCAGAAGTTATTTAAAATCAATATCTAGTGGTTTTGTATGTCTCTAATTACTACTATTATCAACAATTGTTAAATTGAATAGCTATTCATCGCCATTGGACCTGCTATTTTTAATTTAACAATTGTGATTATAATAGTAATCAGAGACTTACAAAACTACCAGATATGGATTTTCATGTAAATCGTACGGATTTTTTAAAATTCTTATCTTCCGTATTGGATCCACCATTTTGAATTACACATTTTTTACTTCAGATTTGAAATAAGTGATCAAAAAAGACTACACAACATGCTCCTGTATTCGATGGCTATGTGTCAGATTCGAAAGGCTATCGCGCACTGTAGGTAATGCGCAGGCTGCTTTGGCGCTTTAAATTAAATAATTTCTGAACAAATGGTCGGAAATTAGTTTTTCAAAAAGAGATTTAAACTAGAAACGTACATCTATAAGTATAAATGTCAGATATTTTTTACGATTTTTTTCTTTCAAATTATTTGGTTTTATATTTCAAAATTTATCAAATTTTTCCGGTTTTTTTACGATTTTTTCAAAGTTTTTTGTTTGTAGTTTGCATAAAATGTTTCTATAAGCATCAAAAAAATATTTTTATTGTATTATTGGAACATTTCTAAGTTAAGTGTCGCAAAACAGACCTCTATATCATTTTTTGTTTAACCGGAAAAAATTAATAAAAAATTTACTTTTGAAAAAAACTGTTTCTACGATTATTTAAAAAAGGAGGTGATGGAAAAAAACAGACAACGTAGTCGTTTTCAGCACATCAAAATCCTACGGAAACATCTTTCAAAGTTCAAAGCACAAGACTCCCCCTAAATTTTGTCGGCCTGTATTATCTGCACTGACTCTCATTAGCCCTGTTATTTGTTAATTTTTTTGTATTTTAAAGATTGATAGTCCGTTTTAATTATTGTTACTTATTGCTTATTTATTAGGATGATCGTGATTAAGTTATCCCGCTGAGAGTACGCGATAGAATATGATTAAATTGGCTGCGTTCAGCAGAGAAAGCAACTTTGCAACTGTTGTAAAATTCTTTAATGTGATTGGTTTAATACATTTAAATCCATAAGACACCAAAAGCAAGAATTAATCGTATTGAAGAATCTCACGATATTTGAAAAGCTACTTTCTCTGAACGCGGCCATTAACTTATACGGCAATTTTAAGATAGGATGGCTAGCTAAATCAAAATGACAACGGAGGAGAAGAGAAACAATAAATCTCCTATTTCGGATTAGATCTTATTTATACAATTCACATTTAATTGTAAGCTTTGCTTGCATTGGCATGTTTGTTAACGTGAAAGAATCCAAAGGTGACGTCGCATAAAGTTTCGGAAAATCGATGGTATATTTGTCAAAGAAAATACGGCCGAATGAATATACCGAGAAGTATTTCATACACACGTATGCCAAGCGAATGTACTCAGTTTTCTCGTTTCACACACGGAAAATGTCGGTGATCCATTGAGCCGACGCGCGCGTTAAACGAAGCGACGTTTACTCACGAATAAATTCTAACGACAAAAAAAGCAATAAACAAATGACCGAGGAAATGGTGATTCGGTCAGGCGCAAGAATATCGAAAATGTTCTCGCCTGAGCAGCCGTTCACTTGACCGTAATTAATTTATTCAGTATAAACGAGCTCGCTACTCTCACTAGCCGGTAGTTATAATAACGTAACGATAAAAAAAATAAGCAATAGCAACGCGTAATATTAAAGAGGCATTTGATACAGAATCGTGAATTATTGAGATTGCAGAAATGCTTTTTTTGAAAATATTTGATTTTACTGGGATCCTCTTTCGTAGCACACTTTCTTAAATTTAATTAAAACTATTTAAGTTTAATTAAAACTTTTTAAAAAAATATGAAGAGAAGTAACACGAGACATATTTGAGCGATATTTGAAACGTAGAATTGCAAAATGACGCGCTAATTAAAGAGAAAATGTTCTTCCGAAGAATTTAATCAAACAACAGTATTCTCTAACCTTCGTTTCTTCTCGATTTAATTAAACTTTGGTTTAATAATGAGTAGATCATAGCTCTCTTTCGGAAATTGTCACGTCGTCCAACTTTGACGGCACAGTAGACAAGTTAATAAGTAATCTACGGTGAACTGATGACACACTATTCCGGCAACATCAAACAAAGGAGCTGAATGGTGGTAAAGCACTTAACTACAGATAGTTACAAGAGTTTCAAAGCTCGTCGTTTGAGCTTCAGAATATCGAGCTGTCTGTAGACGAATACTCGGTCATTGCCAAGCGTGAAATTATTCCTCGTCTCGAGGAATGCATGAAACGACTCGCCATTAGTTACTCGTCTCGGTAAAGCTCGCTACGGATAAGCGCATTATACATCAGCGTGATATATGTCACTTCGAATTGTCCAATTTATTCTATGCAGCGAGTATGCTACGCGAAGCAAATGAGAAATATAATTAAAGTACTTGAGAATTCTATATCTACTGCTATTGATAATTTTGCGCATGGACAATATTTCATTATTTGTTCATATTTATCGTAAATATAATCAATAATAGAAAAACCAATAAAATTAAATATAGCAAAATGATCTAAAAGTAAATGTGTTGTATAACTCTTTAGAGTTGGAAAACATCCCAAACAAAAAAAGGTAGCAAAGAAAAATAAACAGAAAATAATAACTGTTTTTCTAATTAATTTTTACTTAATTTCATGACTTTTAATTAGTATAATCGATTAATGAGATGATAAAACTATACAAAATTTCATCTATTTTAACTTATATTAGTACTTAGGACTTTAGAATTATAAATATTAATTTAAAGAGCTTCTTG